TAGTCAGAATCCTCATCCTTGCAGCCGGCAATCTCTTCATTCCACTTAAACATCTTTTGCAACAGAAAAAAAAGGTGAACTTCTGCTCATCTGGAAGAAATTTAAACTGCTTGTATGATCATGAAGGGACACAGCCAACAGCTTTCTCTCCACTGCCTTCTCCTTCACAGCCATAATTCGCTCTTCTGTTTTCGTCAGTGACCAAGTTTTGCAACAAAACCCGTGAAAATGTATACTTTCTGCAAGAATTCCAACAATTTATAGTACCTTTTCAGTAGTTGTAATAGTTTCGCCTGTCTCTTTGCTCACTAATGTATTCGTTAATTTTGGCTCTTCTCGCTTTTTGGTGAGAAACGAAGGTACGTCATCGAAAATAACAGCACCAGCCTTCTTTCGCTCTTCCGCTGTGGCACCTACAACATGACAATTGCTAATTTAAGCAACTCCTGTAACAAATATGATAAAAATGATAAAATCCTCCTTGCCAAAATCTATTAGACGACAAAAAATGTGCAAATTTCCAGTATTTCGATCCAGAGATGCATGCTGCAGGTGAGTAACCACCGGCTAATTAAGTGCGCTCCTTTTTCGGAAACAGTTCGAGTTGCCACTTTCTCATGGATACTATCCACTGAGACTGCGGTTTGCATAGGTTGTCAGCAAGGCGAACCATACGTACGGCCGATCGAATTTTACTTTCTCGCATGGTCGTAATGATATCCTGAACGCCGCTGCTCTGACGAACAGTGTGATTGTTTATGTGGTTGCGGAGAGATATTCCAAGCATCATTCGCTCCACTGCTCAGTCCGGTATTGCCAGCGCCACACCGCTCTTCCCTGCGGTCGTGTTCCGTAGTTGTACGTCACTGCCTCTAGAAACAGGAAGTATCCGAAGTCCTTCCAGCTCGACACTGTGAAGGATATCGAAGATGCTGTGAAATTTGCGCCAATCGATAACCCATTTATATGCAGTACTTGACTTGAAATTGGAAAGAATATTTACTTCCTCGTAGATGTTTCTGTTAACTTCTTAAATAATTGGCCAGCGCACCGACTACCGGTGCGAGGATGCGTCCTTGCACAATTTTCGAGGTTTTTTTCGCTAAGGAAGTATTTATTCTGGCAGTATGGTTCTAGCTAAAAGAATTGAGACTGGCCAGCACGACTGTGAAAACAATCCCTTAAAGTTTCAGCTTTCTAGCTTTTGGTTCCCGAGTTAGCAGCTTACTCGCCAAATACTTTCACTGGCCCATACTTAAAAACCACGTGGACAAGAGCGTTCCAATTTGGGGATATGGTCCCATACATGCATGAAGATTAAGTTCCCAAAGTTCCGGCCTTGTAGCTTTTATAGGTCTCGAGATGAAAAATCGATACAAACGAAAAATACAGATAAACCCTTGACAGTATGCTTTTCTGCACTGCTTGGATGCAAAAAAACACACACAAAAATCAAGACCTCTGTTTGCATTTTTGCTCCCGGCATACCGGCACTCTGTAATACTCTTGCATGATTTCAGGCATAAGAACAAATACATTTCCAAACCGCAACAAAAAATTAGGCGAAGCAAGACATGGACAAAAGTCAGTGAAATTACAATAAACAAGAACTGGCACTTACCCAATGGATCGGCGAATTCCGGAATTACCGACGGTTGTTCATGTTCATTTCTTGAAATTTTCGCAGGTTTCCGGCCTTTGTATGTTGTCAATGGATCGACAAGTACTTCGGCGCTGCTGCAAGCCCAAATTTCGGTTTCCGGTCGCGCAGAACGTACCCATTTCCAAGTGACCAACGAATCGCTAAACAAACCATCCTTCATCCTAAAAAACAACAATTATGCCTAGTATACAACGATTATTTGCTAGCAATAACCCATCTCTGTGCATTTTGTTTTCTTTGGACCGACCAACTGTTTTAAGAAAGGATAATAAACTGCGGCCTTCTAATGGCTACAATTTATTATCCCTGATTTTTTCTTCTCCCACAACTGCCTGGATTAAGGGATAAAACCCGAAAATGTAGATACACTTAGATAATGGATCGATCTGAATTCAAATATATATATATATATATATATATATATATATATATATATATACATATATAT